TAATACGTATATAAAATTAAAACGGAACAGTAGAGAAAATCCGATCAGAATGACAAATGAATTATAAATTGATGAATTATGGCGAATTTTTATTACTTATTTGATAGGTATCGAGTTACTATAATATGACTTCATGTAGGCTAGGCTTTCTAATGTTGACATCAGCTTCCAAAACCAAAACATTTTGAATAAAGCAAGAAACAAAGAGTATGCAATGTAACTATCTAATTTATTTTCAAATCCTCATTCTTGAAAGTGAAATTCTATATTTTGGAAATTTTGCATGAAATCTGTCAACAACGTTGTCATGGTCGCGGTTGCTTCACCTATCACGATGTATTCCAACCATCATGAGGCTATCTAAATGAGCATTTGTCATAACAGAACGCAAATTATTTTTAATTAGTCTCATTGAATTATTATTATTTTGTTGTTGTTTTTGTGATGAAAAGTTAGCACAAACAATATGGTGGCTAAACGAATATTACATGTAAATATTTGTTTTTATTTGTTTGTTCCCCGACAAAATTTATCGTCTTCCCCGACGGGGGGGGGGGGCATGCTTCCCCGAGGGGGATATAGCCCCCCCCCACTCTGGCACCACCCCTGCTTCCAGGGCTCATCAGTGCAGCTAGGGAAATGCCCAAACGAAACGTTCGACCAGCTTAGGTAGGGCCCAAACTAGTCCCACGACCACTAATGATTACAGAGCCAAACCAAGGTAATCATTAGTGGTCGTTTGGGCCCTACCTAAACTGGTCGAACCTTTCGTTTGGGTCTATACCCTAGCTGCACTGATGAGGCCTGGAAGGCCGAAACGGATCCGTCTGCAGATATTGGGATTCCTTCCAGTGGATGCTTAGTTTATTTTGTCATTCTCATCGAATTTTCTCTACTGTTCCGTTTTAATTTTAAATAGTTTTGCGTTATGTGGCCGTTTGCTGTTTTATGGGTTTTTCCGATTTGCCTTTTAAAATTTATATATATATACATGTATATATATATATATATATATATATAGTATAATTGTGTTAAATAATAAATTAAAATTGGCGCCTCATATTGGTCTTGGTCAAAATTAATTAAGTGTGATCTCAGCTTTTGACTTCATGTCACATCAAATCACATGACTTGCAGTTGCCCACATTTGCTAAACGCTAGATGATGTCAGATGAATTCAGTCGACTTGCAAGGTCGATAGAAGCTAGCTTTAATAATCATTTTACAAAAATAAAAAAGGTTACAACCACTTTGTTCCGATTTATAATTTAATTTACAAGAATGATCTTATCTCAAAATATATAAACTTTACTACAGTATTACATACGAAACAATAAAAAATAAGATGATACCATGTTTAACTAAAAGAAAATTACAAAATCACTACAATACAATATTGATCAGTCACCATCAAATACGTTTTTTAAAAATTCTGTGTCACAATATCACGTACCAATCGCAGGCAGTAAATTCTCTCCCCCCCCCACCCCCCCCCCCCCCCAGCAAAACGTTTTAACACATTATTGGAGGTGTTTCTCCTAAGTTAAAATCAAGTAAATTATTATTATTCATCAAGAGGTGTGGGCCAGACGGCCAACAAGCATTGTTTTAACAACAGGACAATGAATTAACGTACATAGGAAATGGCGACTAGGAAATGAATATATTTCTGAAACTGAAACATAAATATCTTGGATTACACTTTTTTTTAAATCATTATCTGATACACACCATATAGACGAAGTTATGAAAACGGTATATAATAAGTCAATACTAATGAACAAGAAGACTTTAAACAGAAACTATTATGGAGAATTACTATGGAAGACTAATGGATAAAATATTAACACAATTGAACATTCCTAATACTCTGTACAAATATCTGGATGTTTTGAGCATGATTGAAAATTAGTTCCCTTTAAGACAATAGAATTTAGTTAAACATGAGGAATGATACTGATATACATTAAGTTAAAATGATATAATAATACGTAGATAATTTATCTAAATTCTAATACTTGATCATACTTAATAATGACAGTGACCAATCAATCACAATCAGAAACATGCTTAGGTTACTAAAAACTAGTTTAAAGTTAGCTGCTAATTGTAAATGACGAGTAATTTCTGCTTTACTTGGGTTAATGTCATCACCAAGACTATTGGATTGCCTTCAAATTATTATGCATTATCGCCCCAAGGATTGCTGCCAAAGAAGCATTATAATGGTGAATTGAGATGGCAAACTGTTAGCTCAATTCAGAATGATTTTCGAGTTTAATACTTAAATTTAAAATATGGGAGATGGAGATGGTCTCATTTACTTTGAAAAACAATTTTTTATGTTCCAAAAAATTCAAAA